AATGATCTAAAATAAATAGACTTTTCAGACAATATTGACTTGACTTCTTGGACAAATAAGGTTGATTTATCTTAAACTTAGTGTGACGTGGCAAACATGTTCTGTTGTTCCCATTGGTGGTTGCCACACGCTTGGTTAAAACCGTATAGCTTTGGTCTGATGCATCAGTGTGGAGGCCACACGCCTTTGTTTCCTATATAAAATTTCAGAGCAGTTATGGACCTGCTTTGCACAATTGTTCAACACTACAGAACATGAAAGGTGTGAATCATATTATGATACAGGCTAAATTAACTTTTACGAATTCATAGTATGTGAAGAATTAAAATTGGATTTTTTTAAAAGTTTTATGATTTATCTTATAGTTTCAATAATTATAAATTAAGGTTTTCTGTTACAATTTTATTTTGTTTCTAGTGATAGGATAAATTCAAGAATTATTAACAAATAAAAAGTGTCAAAATATTAATAACTAGACGCTAGACGTTTGAAAAAGAAATGAATCATGTGTGAAATCAATATTTTTTTTTTATAACTATAACATCGATATAAAATATTCATCCAATTTTCCTTTTCCAAGGATGTTTCTTAGTTTTACTGCAAAACTTGATGGGCTTAGCTACCATCTTGAGAAGAGAGACAGAGAGAATGGTAAAAAAAAAAAAATGTAGGGTAATTTAGTTGTGTAGAAAGGTGAGGGAGAAAATAAAAGGTACGTAAGGGATCCTTAATTTTTTTTTTTCCTTGCTGAAATGCACAGAAAATAAACCGTGACTACTCTTTGTAGCACCGATAATTGATTACCAGTATTAGTATTACATAAAGCGTGTTTGGTTTCATATCCTGCACGTAAATACATGAACAAGACGCAAAAATCCAAAGCTAAAATAACAAACTTTCATGTTAAAAGGCCAAAATGATGTGATTTTAGAATAAAATAGCACGAATACGTGTACAACTAAAACATGTGTTTTCGTTATGTACATAGTTGAAATCTTCACCAGAAAAAAACATGGATGTAGTTGAAATACACAATAGCAACAAATTTTCATTGTGTTGTTGGGAAGTTAAAATAGTAATAGACTTCACTTTTACTTGTATGATTTATTCTGCTTATATAGGATGAGGGCAGAAAAGCCCCAAACCCAACCATTACTATTTTAACTTCCCACTTTTTTCTTTTTTCTTTTAATGTAAAATTTTAAACTTACACCTAGTATCAAGGTATCTTGATCCAAAATCCTAAACCCTCTTTCTCTATATATATATATATAAGATTTGGTGTATGTAATTCAACTTCATATATATAGTCCAAATGTTTTGTTGTTGCTCTTGAATATTAGCAATCAAATGAAGGGATGTCTCCATGAATAATTATACAATAACGCCACAAGTTGATTAAGAACTCATTTGGAAGTCCCTTGATATAAAATTATAAATTTCAAAATAAAAGGAATGTGAAAATTAAAAAAAAAATGTAATCATGAAGTCAATCATAAAATTAAAATCCTAATTATAGTTTTCCAAATCTAATTTTAGCTTAGTTTAAATATAATTTTCATTCCTATAATTTATTGTCTTTTCATTTTTTTGTCTTTGTAATTTTTTTGAAAATCATCTTTGAGAAATTCCAACATTTCATTTTTTCATCCTTGTTGTTAAAGTTTATTATAAAAGTATTAATTTGATAATGTCATCATATATCACGTTAACAAAGAAATTTTGATGATATTATCATGTGTCAAGTCAATAAATATCACATCATTAGTATCATACTACTATGATATCACATCATCATGTACCATCTTAATTAGCATGATGTCATATTATTATGTGACACATCAACATTATATAACACATCCACAATAGTGTCATGTTGATAACATAATAGAAAGACCAAAAATGAAGAAAAAAAAATTACGGGAATGAAAAATGGAGAAAAAAATTACATGGACTAAAAGAAAAAGAAGTGTCATATAAATTAAATATAATATATAAATTTAATTTAAATTAATGTAAATTTTTAAAATAAATATATTTTTTAATTTTTTTTATCTTTTCTTCATTTTTTTCTTCTTATTTAACACTATAAAGTCACTTACATATTCAATAAATACTCAAAACTCTCTCATTCACCACACACCATTCCTCCTTCTTTTAACATGCACATACTTCAAAGGAAAAAAAAAATACACACTCTATGTCTTGATCATAGTTACCTCGAATCCATCTTAGTTGTAGCCCAAATAAGTTTACAACTAAGATGGATTAAGAATGTTTGTTATTAAGACATAAAATGTGTGTTTTTTTTTTTGTTTACATATTTTTTGTTTACATATTTTTTGTTCATGTTTACTATTTATATATTTTGTTTCTATTAGAATGTAAGATTAAGCTTTAATTTAACTTTATAAAATCATTTTGTAAAATATGCACTTTTTTTTACTTATATTCGTTATTTTGGTTTTATTTATAGTCAACATGGAAATTGAGTTTTTTTTCCTTCAAATAAACCTCTTCTGTTTAACATCAGGCTTGGTGTATATAAAATATGGTTGACGACCCTTTTTAACAGATCAATAATAGGCTTTGATATCATATTAAGAATGTGAATTTAAGTTTAACTAAACCTTATATAAAACTGACTTTGTAAGATGATGATTGTCTATATACTTTATTTTGATCTTAACTCTATTGGATATGAGACTTGATTTTTTTTTATTTTTTTTTATACTTTTGCTCACACCCAACATTATTGAGTTTGATATGAGAATAAATGAGGAGTGACTCTTTTATGGATTTAAGATAAACCAAATGAGCTTTATTTTTTTCAACATACCCTCGCACATTTAGCACTATTCAACTTTATGTGTATATAAATGGTAGGTAGTTATATTTAATGAATATAAGATAACTTTGATAGTATCTTGAGAATATATCCTAACTTGATCTTAAAAAAATGGTTTGTAAGTAGGGGTAGAAAAAGAAGCTAAATTGAATTGAATTAAACTACAAAAATTGAATAATTTTCATAAAAACTAAACTCAATTATATATATATATATATATATATATATATATATTGAATTATAAAAACTAAACTATATTTATAAAAGGGTAAAATTATAAGTGTAATGCTAAAGTCTAGCAGATCAGACTTCGAAAAAAATAGCCCAAACAATAATTGGGCCAACTTGGCCAAACCTAGCAAACCAATCAAATTAGGTTAAATTAGGTTAAGCTACTATTTTCCAAGTTTGAAACCTATTACAACTATCTAACTAACAAAAAAATAGATCAATTAAATTTGTCTAAATTAATTTATGATTCAAATGACTTTTTTATTTTTAGTTCATTGTATTTCTTTTTCAATTTTTTTTACTCTTATATACTTTATTTTGGTCACATCATTAGTTGATATGATGTCTTCCATTCACATCCAACAATTGAAATCTCAAGCATAAATTTTACAAGATTAGATATTTACATATGATCCGTTAATAACTTAATAATTAAGATAGAATCTGATACTATTTTATAAATATAAATTTGAGTCTAACTCAATTTGATAGCACGAATTTGTATAGTAAAGATTATATTTATTTATATACTCTCCTTTAACTTTATTTTTAGTTGATGCAAGACTTTGATTTTTTTTAATTATTATACTTTTTTAAATGTAACGTTTCACAATTATACTTTAATCGCTTTTCAATTCTAGCGATCACATTATCGCTAAAGTTATACAACTAAAGATCTTTTAAATTTTTAAAGAAAGGACCTAATGGAAGATGAGGCAGATGATAAATTATAAAGTTTGCATTATCATTTCAATGCTAAGATGGATTATAAAAGTTGAGTTGCTATTTGGTAGAGCCTATAGAGGAATACATAACCAAGACGAATGATTAGCTGCTAATCAAATTAATATAATTCGTGCATGATGATGGCGACGAGCAACTAAAGCAATTTGAGTTTCCGAACATTTTTTATTTGCTAGATATTTAATAATTTTTACATGATTATGTTTAGGAGAGAAAATAGAGTGAGAATAAAATGGAGAAAAATCCTCAATTATAACATAGATAGATCAACTGATATTTTTTATTTATTTAAAAATACTAATAAAATAAAATTTTAAGTATAATATATATATATATATTTAAATAATTAGATAATTTAAAATTTATAATATATATAAAATCAATAATTTTATTCGATGTAAATATTTATTAAACAATTTTATC